ATATTGAGACTTGGTGACATTTGGGCATTGCCCGATTCAGTGACATTGCGACTTTACATTTTATGTGGTGCGGCATTGGGGATACATTGGAGACTGGGTTCATCGGGCTATGGTGGCTGATCCTCCCTATCTCCCTCTTCCGTTCATCTTTCCTCCCTCCATAAAAATGATTCGGACTCAGCGCCCATTCCATGATTGCAGCGCTGAGTCCACTCACACAGAGTGATGACGAGTGCTGTCAGGTCCGTTCACTGTCCCTGCTGGGTCAGATCGTGGTATTTCAGTCTTCCGCTGTGGAATTTTTGTATTGTCCCTGAGAGGTCGGGTTCTCAATTCTATCGACGCCGATTACACATGCGACACTCTAAAACGGAGAGAGTTCGGAATTTCAATCACAGGTGATTGCTGTCTGGCACCATGGCAGAGACCCAAATGAACCATTGACGGTACCAGCGCCTCCATCCCTCCCCGCGCGCCCCCCCCCCCCGCCCCCCCTCTTTATTTCCACACCACCTATGCATGGGGCAGAGAGACTGGCACCAGATCCTAGCTAACAAGCACCCACAAGGGTGCATTTAGCTCATGGCCTTGAGCACTTACGTGCACTCCTTTTTAGCAACCACCTCCCCCTCGAACTCATACTCTGGCCATCTCGTCCCAGCATAATGGAGACAAAGTAACACGCACAGGGACCCGTCCTCTGTCCTGGGAAGATGACGGAATCCACAACTGGAGCATTCTTTCAGTGGAATAAGCACTCAGCTGAAAGGAAAGAGGGACTGCACCAATCACAAATCCAATGTGGGAGTGGGATAGTCCCTCTCTGGACTCACAAAGGGGAGCGAAGGAGGAAGGGAATGCACGACCGACACAAAAAGACAAAAGAGTTCTCCTTAAATTAACCCAAGAAGCTCGCCTTCTTCCATGGACAGAAGTCACCGAAGGACTAAAAGACTGTTCCAGTCTCAATATTCATCCAGTGTATGGGGCAACAACATCAAGAGCCATAATATCCGGCGACAGAAAAAACTACCAGGAAACCAACCAAGAGGGATAAATAATGGAGAAGATGGGTAGAACACGAAATCGGGAAGATAAAGCACCCACTGGACAAAAGGTTGGAAGAGAGTAAACCAGCTCAATTCTCAACTGAAGGGGTGTCATCATGTCACAGATTAGAAGAGAATCCAGAAGTGAATTTGGAAAGCATCCCGCTGACATGGCAAAATGAGACTAGGACATGGACATGGCGCAGGAGACCTATTACATCTTCGACGCCACACGGGTCCTACCGGACCCGACTTAGGGCTAGAGGGACACATCAGGGCCTAAAGGCCCGACCTTGGGGGATAACWGRCYGAAAGGCCACGACTTGGACCCGACTACGGACCAGGCCCAAATGAYATTTCGTCTTTGGGCCTGACGGCGCCGTTTGAGGCTGCCGCTCTCCGGTTGGACCTGAATCGTCAATCTGGACGGTTCAGCCCCAACCAAGGCCTCGCAGCAGTGAGGCCGGTCCTCTTCGAACCAGTACTTAGTACTGGTCCGGCCTCACTTYGAGGCATCGACSCACCGGTATTCTACGCGGTGCGGTAAGGTCGGCGCCAGAGCGCCGTTTGAGCGCTATTCCTAGCGCAGGAGCGAAGGGCAGCAGCAGAGCGACCTAGCGCAGCGGCAGCAGCGAGCGCCTCAGCAGCAGCAGCTGCAGGTACCAGGAGGCGGGGATCTCTTCCTCCCTCCTCGGTCCCTTTCCCTCCTCCTCACCTT